CCAAACCCCCATGCATTAAATTCTTCTTTTATTATTTAAAATGTGACTATGTAAAAAAATGAAATTTCTTAATTTAGCATAGTCTTCCTTCTTTTCATCAATGTAGCATTATTACAATCTCAATTTTCTTATTAGTCATATGATATGTTAGTTTGGGACAAAAATCTGAATTATTTATGATACATGAAAAAAGTCTGATCTCCAAAACCTGCTATGATCCAACTGAGTAAACCCCTCACAAAACAAATACCGTGTTAGAAAGCAGAAAAGCACACTATGGTTTTCCAACATTGTCTATATCCAGTTCCAATACAGGATAGTCAAAAAACGCATGTAAGCAAGTTTCTTCCACTTATAATAATAAACTACACAGTATCTTCAAGGTGACCGCTGTGTTCATCTATAATGTGCTGTAGCTGCAAACACTACGAAACATTAGAAGTAAACTCAGCCAACATTAATTCACAGCATCTGCACATACATGTACAATTAAATGAGTTTTGGCCCCAACAACTACATCAGGTGATTCCTGGAACAGGAAGCAATTTACTGGTGCTCATTCACCGGAAAGCCTCAAACATATATACATTTTTTATGCCCAATATGGGCATGTGAAAATACATATGCAGTAGGCCGCCACCAAGACTGCAGAACTCATGTTCACAATGGCACTGAAAACATTTATTCTGCACCAAAGATTCTGGGCCTCAGATAAGAAAAGAGGGGGAACAATTCATATCCTTGATATATACATCTAAACGTACAATTTTCTGCATGTACCATAGGTCCACACACATTGTGCACTAGTATGTACGAGTGAATGAAAGCAGAGAAAACATCTACAATCTTTGCATGCATACACTACTATGCATACATACGAACCAACACTCAGCAGCATGTGCTCTAAAGATTTCACAGGCCCAGACGTCACTGTGGAGATTTTCACCCTGGAGTGCAATCTCCACCTCTCGTTCACAATCAGGCACCGGACTCACTAGTTTACTGATCTTCTGTTCTGTGTCCTCCTTGGCCCGGTACAGCTGCAGCTCTTCAAACATCTTGATGTTGGCCTGAACCAGACCAGTCATCTGCAGGGGTGAGGAGATGAGAAATGGGAGGAGAGGGTCAAGGAGGACATGTGGACAACCCTCATGTGATACAGTACAGTCCATCTTACAGCACTGTGGGAGATTCTGTTCTCATCCCACAGCTGTAACCCTGCTTGGCTGAGCACTCTACATTTCTCCCCTTTCCCCTGGTTATTCTTATTGATCTAGATGAACATCTTCAGCTACGCTGCCTGTGCTTGGCATAAAACTTCACCTTCTAATCCGTAGGAAAAAGAATTGCTACTTCCACTAGGAAACAATCTAAAATGGTTGAAAAGGGGTAATATCATACACAAGATGATTTATTTTTAATTGGATTGTCACCATGTACAGAATCGGGTACTGACTTTGCAATTCGACCATTGTAAAACTATTAGAAAAGTGACCATCATCAGACTGTTTTTAGACCTTACCAGTAAGATATAACATATCTTATTTATGCATTAATCTTACAGAGTCCAGATGTGAGAAGGGAAATCACAAAAAAAGAATAAACCATTCAATCATGCACTGCCTGTAAAATTTAAACCGATACAGGTAAAACCGGACTGAATTTAAGAAACAAATCTTTTTAAGCCTTTCTAACCCCTTTAATCTACTCTGACAAGAAAACCCATTTCAATCCCTTCGCTCCCACCCCCCTGAGCCCTTGAGGCGCTCCTCTTCAGTAAACATCCTTTTCACCTCCAACTCTCACGGCGTCTCCTCCAGCCTGCAGGGGAACAGGAGAGCCTCCTCCCCTCCCCCACCCCTCCCGCTTACGTGATCTTTCAGCTGCTGGATCTCTGTCCGCAGCTTCTTCTCCATCTCGTCCTTCTCCTGCCTCAGCGCCTGGTTCTGCTGGTGGAGCTCCAGCAGCTGTTTCTCCAGCAGCAGGCCCTGGTCCAGGCTCTCCCCGCCCTGAACCCGGGTCAAACGGAAGCAGAGGAAGATAAAGGACCAAAACCAATCACCATGAAAATAACGATGAAGGGTGGAAGAGGAGCTTTCATAACGGAAATCAATGCTTCTGCAATAAACAAATAAAAACAAATATAAGTTTGTTCTTATGCAGCATTCAAATCTCTACTACACATATAATAGTAGGAAGCTGGAAAACTGCAGCTGAAAACTGCCCTTAGATCCACAGGAAACCACAAGCCCCCACTGTTATAGAAATGCTAGAGAAAATGGCTGTACGGGCAATGGGGAAAGCAATTTTAAGCAAGAGGTAAAACACTAGACTGGAAGGAACAGAAGACATTTCATGTTCTTAAAGTTTAAATTCCCAGCTCCACACTTAATAGACAAGTCTCAGTTTTTCTTGTTACAGTTTACTTGCTTGAAATATAACGGAGCGAAACGAGAGCTTTCTTTCCCGAAGAGAAGGGAGGCTGCCTGGGAGTGAGCAATCTGAGAAGACAAGTGGAGTTTCCTTGAAGTGTGTGCACCATTCCATGTACAAGCAATAGTGGAAAAACAAATGAACCTTTATATGCCAGCAAATATTACTAGTAACACAATATTGCATGATCGCAGCGTGCTGGAACGCTGTGAAATCATACAGAAACGTGTACGTAGACACTGATGCAGGAAGTATATGTGAAACACTTACACATTGTGAGAAAGACAAGATGTAAAAAAAACTGAACTGAAGTGAAAAGGCACCACTTGCCTGTGCTGCGAAAGAACACAGGCAGGAGACCTGAAATGAATTGCACTCTGTTTCCGTTGGTCTGCAGGATCAGTCAAACATTTAGAACACGAGATCTCTCGGACTCTGTGGTGCCCCGGCTGTCCCTGTGCTGAAGCCACTAGCGCGACATGCAGTGAAAGAGCAGGGGCACCGCGAGGAGCCACTCGGACTCTGCTCGAGGGGGGGTGCCATGCAGCCCTGTCTTCTGTTCGCCACATTGCAGTGTCTCTTCCTTCTGCTGCAGGCAGCCGCCCCCCCATCCTTCTCCGAAACAGGAAGTGCAATCCAGTAATTAAAATGCTGCTGACTCACCTCCTGCTGCGAGAGCCGTGTTAGCCCAAGGTGACTGGCATCACCTCCCTCTCCCGTTCAAACAACCACTGGAGTTAAATATATCCCAGCAGCCCTGGCAGCCCTCGAGACTCCAGGGGCGCAAGAAATCGAGTGCGACCCGCTTTGAGCCTAGACTAAACTGTGCTCTGGCATCACATTTTACAGCAATATGGTAAACTGTTGCTACGAATGTGGTGCTCAGATAAATGTGGTGGATTTCTGACACTTAGTCTTGATTTGTTCCAACTTTTAAACACCTGAGTGTTTCTACGGTACTGGAAGCCTGAGGCAAAGACTCTAAAATGGTTCAGCAGTGTCACGCTTTCTTTTCATTCCATCATCAAAGACTGACAGTCTGAGACTCAGCAGACGCCCTCATCTAACAGTCTTTACTGGATTGCTGAGGGTGTTACAGTGCTGTACTCTCCTCCGGGTAAGAAAATTAAATGTCGTCTATCCTACGGCGAAAGCTCATCTGCAGGCTTTATTGTTTTCCGGATAAACACACAAAAAAATATAATCGTGTTTGTGTCTGTATTTTCAACAAAGCCACAGGTGCATTTTGGAGCCCAGAAAGCAGTCATCCTGATTAAACAGACAGGACGAGCTGGCGCCAAAGGACACAATACAGCACGTAAGCACTGCAAAAATGTTTAAATCAACTACAAGATAATGTTTTTTTATTTCTGGTTTCATATTATGCACCACAATTTGCCTTTGTCTTTTTAGGTTCAGAATTATTCACCCATCCAGTTTCTAACTGCCCTATCCCAGCAAGCAACGGGTGCGAGGCAGGCACGCCAGCCCATCACAGGGCACACATATCTACAAACACACCAGGGCAACCGGCACGTCTCGGAGGTGTGGGAGGAAACTGGAGCGCTTAGAGGAAATTGAAGTGAACACAGGGAGACCATGCACACTCCACACAGGGCTCCAGCACCACGAGCCAGCAACACTCACCACCTTGACACCCAGGTTACAAATTATTATGACCGAGACGTGTCTCCTTCAAAACAAATCAAGCTTGTGGTACAGAGACATGTTAAATTGTGGATGAATTATATTTTATTCATTTTTTATGATGCACTGGCTCAGTTCCCAGTCTCAGCTCCTCGGCAGCCACTCCCTTGCCGACTCAGTAGAGATGTGAGCGCGCTCCAGCCCCCCCCCCTGCAGAGCCATGGTGCACGCTCAACACAATGACACACAGCCCAGGCTGGAGGAGCAGCCTGTCTGTCCCTCAGGCCTGCAGGCCTCTGAAAGTAGCAGGAGCTGTAGTTTTGCCAAGAGGGCCCCGTGCAATTAATCCTAGCCCTGCCTGGCAGCACTCAGCCAACAGCCAACAGCCAACAGCCCAGCTCACTGTCTGCTACTGGCATGGCACAGACTCAAACATATCTCTCTAGGCATTTTTTCAGAATCAAACTTCCACAGCTCACAAATCCAGCTCACAAATCCATGGTCAGCTTTGCTGTGCGTCCCATCAGCCCCAAAGGCAGACCGGAGACAATTTTCTCTCCAGCTGAGCTGAAAGGAAACCAGGCCCGCAGAACGGCTGAGGCTCGTCTGAGCACAGGGTTCGAGCCCGGGTCACGTCACTAGCCGACTGTGACTGGGATTACCCACGCAGGGCTCCCTCAGCCCTGGTGACCCCTGCAGCCTCCCAGTCACCTGGTGAGCATGCGGGGCTGTGGGGGAGGGACGTGTGGGGCCACACAACCTGCAAACACAGGCCTCTCCACTGCAAGTCAACAAACACGCAACTGACGACACAGAATCAGGTGGGTATAACAAAAATAATCGGCAAATCGAAATCTTAAAAAAGCTGGAGCTGCAAACCTGACCAGGAAGGAGAAATTCTGTTGCATACGGACAGTAGCGCCCCGGAGGTGGTACCTGCTCTGTGACCATGCTGGCCGTTTCTTCATAGACCAGGTTGCCAGTCTCTCCGTCGGGGTCCATGAGGACCAGAGTCTGTCTGCCCGTGGCCTGTGGGGAGGGCCCCACTGTCTCCTCCGCTCCCACTGCAATGCCATTGCTCACACTGCTGTCCTTTAAAGAGGCAGAGACCACAGACGGCCACGTCGGTTCATTCAGTCAGGAGACCCACACCCATTGATGCTGAGGAGCACAGCTTAGATGTATAAATGTATAATAACATATCACACTGCACAAACTGCGCCTGCGTGAGTCTCCAAAATCAGAAACTCAAAGCAGAAGGAAGTTAAAGACCTCTAGCTTCAGACTGCTGCTAGGCCACAGTTCATGTAAGGGTGCAAACAAGGCTATCAAATGTGAACCATTGCACACACGTGTCCTCTTATTTAAACAGAAAGAAAAAAAAAATGTTTCAACAAGGACACATTTCCCTTTAATCTTTTGGAAATATCTTTAATCTAGGCTAGATCAATTACAGCATGCATGCGATGCTTGAGTTTTGCACTGCATTAACGGTACATTTATATATGACTGTATATCATGTAGTGGATGTAACCTTTCAGCAGGATGATAATTGGTTCTGTACTGCGCTAAAGTATAAATCTCATGTGCACCATCGTTCTCGCGTTAACGAGGTGCATTTGGCCGGTGAGCAGGCCAGGACATTTTTGACACCCAGTTCCTGAACTCCCTCTCCACCCTGGCGCCACAGCAGGCCCCTGGCATACCTTGGGCACCTCGGTGAGGAGAGTCTCCGTGCCTGCGGCCGTGGCAATAACAGTCTGTGCCAGAATGGAGCCGATGGTGCTGTAGTCCCCATTCGAGCCAGCCGTGACGGGCAGTCCGCTGTAGGCCTTGGGATGTGCCTCCGCACTCTGCTCATAATACTGCCGGCTGTTAACCTCCTGGGAACAGACAGACCACAGGAACCCAGAGCCCCCGTCAGCTGCTACCCACAGCCACAGGGCCAGCTGCGCCCTGGAACCCCAGCGGCTTCATCAAGGTCACGTTTGCCACCCAAACTGGAAACACGTTAGCGACACGCCTGGGACCATCTCACTGTCAGTGTGCATCACGAATACTGTCAGGCACTCAGGACTCACAGCATTATTTGTTTTGTTACACTTTGGGGTAAAGTTACAATACTACTTAAAAGTCAATCACCAGGAACATTAAAGTTCACCATTAACGGACACCACATTAACAATTCAAGTTATATACTGATTGTTAGATGAATACCATAATCCCACAGCCTAAACCGAAAGTGTCTGAAATTCCTTCCTCCCACACAAAATTAAATACGACAGACACGTAAAGTTCCTCTGTGTTAAAATGCTACATCAAATGCTGACTCAAATGGTGAATCAAGACTTTTTTTCTGAAATAGATAAGGCATCAATCGAGCAGTCCTTAACTTGCCAAAAAAGCCAACAAAACACTATCGTAAGCACATAAAATGTGATCATTTAAAAAAACAAGTTTTTTTTTTTTTTTTGCTCAAAGCAAAACTTACAAAGACACTATTCATGCCCACAAACCCAATGGTATCGATACCCAGTCCCATAAATGTAGCAGGGGAGGACAGCTGTCTATCAGGAAAGTGCTGAGCTTTGCCTTTATACCTCTGAGCCAGGCAGGTGGATCTCAAGAAAGACACATCTGCAACTACTGTTTTACAAACACAACTCATAGTTTACACACTCCTGGCTGCCTTCAGCAATAATATTAGGTAATTATGAAATGGATTTTTTTCATTACATTCTCATCAAATCTGTTACAGTTTGAGACTTGGCAAGAGCCCTGAGAACCAGCAGCCCTGCTTCGATCTGATGAGCTTTAGACATGCCAGAAGCCCCGTAGTGCCTCTCTGGTGCAGAAGTGCCAAATGAAGGAGCATCAGGTGCCCTCGCTGACATCACCGCAAACCGCAGACATCAGGTGTAACAGCAGCACCTGCAATTCTCCCAAGAGCAACAGACCCCTGGCCAACTAGCACCCACCCTGTTTCACCCCTGGGAATCTAGGTCATGAGGCTCATGATGTGACCCAGGTTCGAACCCTTGTTTGAGACCCACGGGACTCAAGCGGTGCTCGGCGCAAACACTCTTCGGGCTCTACCTGTACTAAAGCTGAGCTCCTGTTCACAGTTCGGCCCCCCGGGACCCGATACCTGGGTGATCTGAATCTGGAAGGTGGTGTGCGGGTTGCGGAAGTGGGTCTTGTAATGCTTGACGGCCTCGTCGCGGCGGTTGAAGCCGTTTCGGCAGCGGTAGCAGTGCCAGTGGGCCCCTTTGAACTTCTTCTCCCCTTTGATGGTCCCCACGATCTCACAGTGATTGCAGCAGCGCAGCACCTTCAAGCCTGAGGACCAGAGCAGAGGGCAGAGGCAGTTCATGACACAGCTCGGCGGCAGACTGACAAGGCCCAGCCGTCCGTATGGCCTGGTTATTGGAGCCAGACCATACTGGACCAACGTGACCAGAAAGACACACAAGCGTTTAATAATTAAGAATGGACTGCAGAGGACAACAAACAGGCCTAAATATATCTGGCAGATCAGACAATGAAAACAGAGAGATGAAATACAGTATAGAGCTGTAAAAGTGGCTTTCTACCAAGTGTTGATCCAAGGGTGACAGATTTCTAGAAAGGCACTTTATGCCATCTTCTTTTCTGTAAGCAATGATTCTTCTTTGAATTCCATTTCCTTTCAACACAACTCACCCAGCAGGCACCTCTGCTCGTAGCTGGACAGGCCCTGACTGAGCTTTATCAAAGGGCACCAAAGAAAGTTTGCTTTTCTCTCAAATACCTTAGAGGAAGCTAAACATAAGCTACTTTTATGCTATTTTCAAGCTGGCAAGGCAAAAAAAAGCACTCAAGCTAGAAAGAGTAGAGAACCGTAAAGAACATAAAAAACAAGAAGACGCAACAAGGAAGAGGTGACATAAGAGGAAAAGTGGCAGTTATATAAGTGGTTCCTTTGAGTCCCGTCTCGTGCCTTTCTAACTGCCTCTGCGGTCTCCTTCCTCCGGTCAGCTGCAGTGTCTGAAGCTCCGTGATCACAGCTGATCAATACCTGGGCTCGCTCATTTCCGCAGAGGTCAATTGGCAAAGGAGACCCGGGCCAACTGTACAGAATCAACCAAGTGAGGTCACTTTCTGACAGATCAGCAGACAGACCTACATGACTGTTTCACAATGTTATCAAAACGTTTCAATGTGTTTGGTCCCAGGTATTTACCAATGCAAGCTGAATGGTTAAGTGGGTTTCAAAATTTCATTTATGCAAATTTCACAGTTCAGCCACACAGCACGAAATTCTCTTTCCTCGGCAGGAAAATGATACCCATAGGACTGACAGTTTGCATAGATGCAAACACAGGCCCTTAATCACTTCCTCTGGGTTTGCATGAGTGCATCGCTTTGAAAAACACGACCCTGCTGACTTTAAGTTTGCAGCAGAATTGTCCCTATGCAATTTCACACTTTGAATAAAAATAACTTTCACTAATCCAATCAGATAGACTTCCTTATTATATGACCAAATATATTTCCTACAAGGTTTCATGAACTAGTACAGCGTTCTGACTTTCTATTGGAAAATGCAATTCTAATCTCTCACACTTGGGAAGAAGAGGAAATTTACACAGCTACTGTACATGCATCCCCTCAACGTGACAACACCTGCATTTTTTACAATTACAGTCACCCAGACTACGCAAAAATAAAGGTCTTCCAAAAATCAGATGGCAAATTTGAGTCCACTAAACAACAAACCAAGCAGTCTAAGGAGAAACTTTCCCCTTTTCATTATCCCACAATCAGGCTGGCACTGCAGTAGAAAATAGTTACAGAGTGCATTTTCTTTATCAAAACTAGACAAATACAACATTTTAACTTTCCTTCAGAAGATAAACAAAATCCTTCTAAATATAACAGTTCAACCAACATTTACTGAAGATGTCAAAATCAACAAGTATAAAAAACAAAGTTCCTTAGCGTGAGTGCAGGCAACACAGGGAGAACATGCAAACCCAATACAGACAGCACCCCTGGAACTGTGGCCAGGGCCCCAGTGCTGTGAGGCGGCAATGCTGAGCACTGCACCCCCATGCCACCCCCATCAAGTAAAATAGAACACAAAGTGGGGATCAAGAGTAGCAGAAGAAACACATTTGTCATTTGCTACTACACATCCATCTGAACCATGATTATTCATTGTGACACAAACCAATAACAACTACATAAACACTATTCCCACCAGCTTTTCACTGGTCTAAAAAATGAAACGCAAAATATCCATCAGTTTTCAGTAATTCCCTCCCATCAGGACGTACGAGTACAAGACCTGATCAACAGAGGACATGACACAGGGATGAAAACAACACCTCAACCACCCACGAGAATACCAGAGCAGGGCAGCTAATAGGAACCAAACTGTTTGGCAGCTTGATTTTAGATGGTACAAGATCTTGAGGTTACACTGGATGAGCAGAAAAGCAATATCCTCACAGCTTCACAGGCTGAGATACTTTAAAAATCTTCCAATACCCAGCACCTTGTGTCGGTTTACAGGAGAGGCTCAGGCTTGTAAAAACTCAAGGCAATCAATTTGCTGCGCAAAGGGAGTCTGACGTTTCCTTGCACGCTCTGTGACGGCAGAGCACACGCAGTCGCACACATGGCAAGACGCAGCGCCAACAGCCCCCTTGTCGAGGCCCTACGGAACGGGGGGCGAAGCACCTGCGAAGTCGATGCCTTTGTCCACGTGCTTGACTCGGTAGTGCGCCCGCAGGATGACGGGGTCCTGGTAGGCCTCAGCGATGCTGCAGAAGGGGCAGTGCATGTGGGAGCCCTTGGCCCGGGCTGTGCACTTCTCATCCTGGCACAGGACCGGGTTGTAGCTGTGCTCCGTGCCCTTGATCCTCACAGAGGGGTGCGCCTAGGATGTGCAGAACAGTACTGTTACAATTGCCTGCAACGCAGGAGAAACAATGGGGTTTAAAACAGCCCGCACGCTGTTCTTGTACTCGTCTCGCTTTTATCATTCAACATGTCTGGAGCAGCCAGTCGACTGAATGGGACCTCCCAGCAGCAGGCAGTGCACGGCTGCACGAGAGCTTCCCTGACCGGCCTGTCCCCAGTTGCCCGTCCTGCTGAAAGCTGGAGGAACCGGCCGAAGGTCCACCAATCTCACAGACCACTGCCCTGAGCCGAAAGCCCTCCTGCCAGACGAATGGAATGGGACTGGGCTGCAGTCCGCCTTGTTCAGGCCCACTCAGTCGCTGGGAGATGTTCCTAATTTTATGGCCTTGCGCTATTCATTCAGAGGCCTCTGCACAACGCCTGCATTCGAGGCTGTAACACAGCACGTTCTGCAGTTTGACGTATGGAAGAGCAGGCGAGAATTTGGTTCCAATAGGTATGTCTGCTCCATAGAGACGTGTGTTTAAAGCGATCAGACCTAATGAAGCAATACGTAAAATTAAGAAATCCAAACAATGAAGATAAAACGAAAAATGAAAATGGTCTGGAACAGGTTTATGTGGGGAATATACTGTACAATGTAAATCCTAATACAATCTGTTAAATATCTACTGAACCTTAATTTAGCACAAATTATTTGATTAAGCACAATTAGGGTACACTGAAAATGATTATATAATTACATTACATATTTATCATGAAGACATTAAGGGTGGATGATAAACTAAAAAATGTTCCTCATATTATTTTAATCTGTTAAAAATATACATTAAAATAATGTGTCATTTAGATCACGTTTTACTTTCACCTCTGTCACATTTTTGCAACTGGGTGTGTGTTGCTTGCACGATATGATATTTTAACTCACAGAAATATTTTATTGGTAAAAAGCAAAATACAATACAATTCATATCACAGTATTTTACAATCTTTGCAATTTTTGGCCTTTGTGTAATTGCTAAGTTCTGTTAACAACAAGTCTTAACCAAAATAAAGGAATGTATTGATCAGAATGTTTATAGATTATAAAAAAGCTACATAGAAAAGATTGTAATCTCTTTAGCCTTTATCGCAATACTTATTTTCCCAAACAATATCACTGTTAAAAAGTCATGTTGTGATACATGTTATACATAACTATCATCCAACCCTAGAAGACATGCTTCTTCACTAGAAGCATCACATAACACAGAGCACTGATAAGAGCAACGACTACTGTACACCACCTCTACAGATTCAGAGCCATGGGAACTGACTACTGACAACAAAGAAATGCGCGCTGTTCCCTGATGAAACCCTACTTATCCATAACCGTTTGAAAACTACCCAGATGCAGGCAAGATTCAAAGGAAATGAAGGGGAAATCTTCCAGCGGTACGGTGCAGGAAACAGCTCCTGACGCAAGGCTGGGAAGCACTGACAGCAGCTCTTCCCGGCGAGTGCACGCTCAGGCCGAGGCTGGCGCTGCGACAAGGACAGCGGGCGAGGGTCAGGCTGGCGCCCGCCCGGAGCACTGCGGCAGGCTCGGACAACACCGGGGATAACAGGGAGTGACGGGGCGTGAAGCTCCCGAGAGGAACACCCAGCGCACAGCTCATCCTGCTCCTGCTGCGCAAACGAGGGGGAGGGAATCAATACTGCCCCCTCCCGCACTCACGATCCAGCCCTGACCCCTTGCCACCTCTCTGCCAGACTGCAGCCTCCGACGAGGGGCTGGGAAACAGCAGGAACTCGGTGATCCAGTCTCGGGAAACAAGGAGACTCTCCTCTGCAGAGGGAATCGACACGAAGCAACTTCTCACAACCAGCATGGGACCACCCAGTACAAACCCATCACAGAATCTGAATAGCTAGGACGTTATAAAAAGTGAAACTTTTTTTTTCCTTCAGATAATAAAAAGATAGAAATTTCCCTATAGTTCTGAAGATGTCGCATTTCCTTGCGGCTGGACAGATTGAGTCATGAGCTTCTTTCACATTCTTTCTGAGAACAGAGCTTAAATGAGCAAATTCCCTTCATCTATAAAACAAGCCTAATACAATTAGTATGTTTTACCACATAACCCTACAAGGCAGTTCTCAGCAGCAGCATCTGCACGTTTCTACACTGAGCTTAAAGCCTCAAATGAAGACATCAAGCAGACAGACATTTTCTGCAAAGAAAAAAAAACCTGCCTGACTGAGATGCAATCCATCAACAAATGGAAAATAAATATCCTGCAGCCTTTCCTGCTCACAGCAGCATTAAAACTCAGAAGGGCTCTGTCTGCTTCCTCGTCAGCTGCCAGTCTCAGGGGGCTACTCTCTCTTGCAACAGTACTGCAGTGTCCTTTTGGGCGCATCAGCAGAACAGCATGGAAAGCACACCGACACGCAGCGCACTCACAGCCCCTGAACCGAGCACAGCGACACCGACACGGCACTCAGAGCGGCCCCCGTCATCACCGGTCACCACTGAAGCCGCCAGAAAAACAAGTACAGTCTTTGTTTAATGAAATTTTAATTAGCACCAAAACCCTGTCATTATACAGGATTGTATACAAAATATAATGAGTATGACAAACTACATAGAACATTTTCAGTCATGATGCTGGCTCAGAACTCTCTATCCCCTAATGCCTTAATTTCCACTGGATCAATGGTTACTATTATGGCTTTTTTTCAATAATGCAGTGTCTTTCAGGAACACAACTATCTCGTTATTAGGGAAATAGATATACCCATGGCAGAACGCTTTCACCACCTGAGGTGAAGATATTTCACCCCAATGACACAAGAAACGCAATCGGAGATCTGATTTCTAATGATTTTCCTGCTCTGGAAGCGCCACAATTCCAGCTTCCCACAAATACCTGGCATGTGGGTGAATTCCTGGCAAACCCAATTAGCCTGGAAGGAAACACTATTACCCTTCTGAACTGGACTGGGCTCCTCCAGTTCGTATCTCCAGGGCCTGCACAAAGCATCATTTTGGAAGGCACCAGCTAAAAACAGTTTGGCAGTTTTGTGAGTGTTTGACCTGCACAGTCATCCTTCAAAATCTCAGTCAGACATTAGAGAAAAAAAACTTCAAACTAGTAAGTAGTGAAACTGTGTGAAATGTCAAGAACATCTAAAAGGGAAACCAATCTCCAAAAACTCCAGAAATTTCAATATATAAAGGTTAACAGCAGCAGTATTTTACATATTTCTTACACTGCTGCATATTGCTTATTCGGAAATCAAAAACACAGACCTATCGACCACCAAATAAGATTTACCAAAGCTGAATAAGCTAACTAGAAGGGGATTTGAAGAAATGCGTCCACCTCAGTATGGACTTGTCTGTAGGTACCAACAACCAGGCTTGTTTTCACGATCTTTACATTTCAAACTAAGAAGATATGTTGCTAGACGAATTAGTCAGGACAGGCGAATGTTCCGAAAAGGAGAAGCCCAGACTCGTTACAACATTCAGATTAGGAGGGATTTTAAACACCGGGTCCCGCAGAGACGCAGTCCTGCGCGTTTTCATTCTAACAACACAACTCCTAACGATCAAACCACTGGCTCGGCTGCAGCCTTTCAAACACGTTGCCAGCTCTGTAGGTGCTGCGGATTTATAGAGAGCTATAACACCTGCAGGAAGGAAGCCAGCCAGGGCTGGAGCTGGGAGCCGGGCAGGGATAGACTGTACTGCGTTTCTGCTAGGCTGTCCAACCAGGAAGACTGCATCTGAAACAAGAGGGGATGTCAAAGCGCCTGACAGACTTGTTACAGCTGAATCTTCGGATACTGGGCCCAGCATGGTCGGAGCTGGGTGTTTAAGGGTGTCGAAGTGGCGCAGACTCGGGGAGAAACAGAGTGACAAGTGAGAGCCTGTTTCCTCACACTTAGTCCACTGAAAAGAAACACGAAGTTCAGGCCGAACCACAGCCCAGCTCCTGTGCTCCCCCTACGCGTCTGTCTCGAATGACTGTGCTAAATAGAAGTGGGTGTGTACTACTGCAAACAGAAACATAAATTTACATTTCTGATCGGGCAGACCAGTTATATTCTGACACCAAAACGCAACTAGAAAAAAAAAATGATATCCACGAAGAATGCATCAGTACGTCTCAACGGTGGGAATAAAATATCGTAACGCTAAATAATCGCGCCTCATCCTCACAGAGCTCACGTTAAAAAGTCAAATATTTCTACGGAACACCTATTAACACTGTGGTAGCAACGGATAAAATACATTGCACACAGCAGCTCTGCCCAATCTCTCAAGAAGCTACAGCAGTGAAAAGCAGTCCAAATCAACACACAAGATATTTTAAAGTGCACTTTTCTTGCCGGTTTTTTTTTTTTTTGTTTTTGGCATGACTTCATAACTGCAGTTTTAATTGCCGAACACGCACATACACTTGCGCTTTTTCGCGTCGGTGTCCCAAGTGCAGCTCCCGGTACGCGTTTCGCGTTGAACAATAACACGTCGTGAGAAACAGCGCCCCCTGCCGGGCCTGCATGAGCCTCCCGCTACAGAGCGGCTCTCCCCTCTTTCGCTTCGCCAGGGTCCATGTTTGACTTTCCAGAAATTCCGCTAAAAAACCGTCTTTTCACTTTTCGGCCATCGCGCTCTCTCCTTCATGCAGGGACTCACGGGTGCATTTTAGGCGTTGCGCTTTAAAGCGTTGCGGACTTTCGGGAGAAACAGCTGGTGCCACCCCCGCTTTTTGCTCTTTTAAAGCTTGGAAAACCTAAACCACCAAAAGGCCTTGCTTGGTTACAGAAGTAAACATTAGAACGAGCCGGGGCCCCGGAAACGGCTCCGCAGAAACTTTGAGCTGCTCCCTCGCGTACTTACGATAAAAGCTGCCATTTCCCCGAAGAGGACAACCGAGTCCCGTGTCCGGCTTCTAGCGGCTTTTTCTCGGTTTAAACCAGCGGAACATAGCGCCTGCAGGGTCCGGGCTCTGCGCTGTTCGTCATCGGTAGCTGCACACACAGACTTGCGCCACTTGCGCAGACGGGCTCCGTAAGCTACGACAGTGACGTACAGCGCTGGCGGAGCCGGGGGCGCAGTGACGCTGCACGGCTGTCTGTGCGGCTTCCTAATCAACGAAGGAGTACTCGCCAGACCCTCCGGCCCTTGTGTGGGATTTAACTGGGGAAAGCAATCTACAACCGTGATTTTTTTAACTCTCTGATTAGCTCATCTAAGATCACAAATAAACTAGTGTACAGACATAGGCACAGACGCCAACAAACGTGCCAAAGCAGGAAGCGCTTTTGGAGGCGGACATACAGGACAAAGCGTACATGCATGCTCCCGAATGAAAGCTTTTCGGAAATATTTGTTTAAAAAAAAACTTGGCAATCTGTTTTATTCGAACCTTGCAACATTCGGGGAAAAGTACATGCTCTGAACCCTGTTGTCGGCGAAGTACCATGTGTCTTAAAATTAAGGCGCTTTTAGAAGCCACTTTGACAACAAGTGATAACAAGATTATACTAATGTTCTTACAGTAAATTGTGTAAGTAGTAATATGTATACCATGTACAGCTCTGTTTGGTGTTTTCTGTTACTGTACATGGAACTGATTCTAAAGGGCTTGCAAGTCAGCACAGGCAACATGAGTATAAAAAGTTATTATGAGGTAACTTAATTTGCTGTACAACACTTATAATTCTCTCTCTCACATGTGAGCCCAAGTTTAATGCAACACTCCTGGTTATTTACACTGTAAATGTCTGTGAAAAGCAGTACAGGTGTCATGAATAAAGTCCTCTTTCTGTCTTTTGAGAAAATACAGGGCCAGTTTCCTCAAACACCCTGCTAAAAATATTTATCTTCATGTCTCCAACAGGTAGGCAAGGAAAGGAAATATTTGAATTCTGTACAGTTGTGCCCCAACTCTCTGTAACCCTAAAAGATAACCTTCTCTGTCCCCCATAATGAGATCACTTTCAGCTAAACACTCAAATGGGACTTTAAGCACATTGTGATAGCCTCACACATAAATACAATTATCTGCAAACGTAAAAAAACACTCCCCACCCCATCCCCAATTAGTGCTGCATGTTTTTACAGTAGATTGTCTAAATAGTTGTGAGCCACAGAAATGTAAATGAATCACACATATAACTACCTATTTATGATGATCAATTATTCTAGATTACAATAACAATAGCTGTGATTCACTACATACGTCTGTAAAGTATTAATACAATACAATGATCAGAATCCCTACAGTTTTTCAGGTCAATAAAACATAACTGCTTCTCCAATAATGCCCTGAGATATAACACAAAGACTTAATTATTTAAATGCACAGTAACGGATATTTATAGACCTCCTCATAGCAATTAATAATTTTGACATTTAAACCCACAGCCCATCTCAAGGGACTGGGGAATAAAGCAAATACAAGTAAAGTAAATATTTTCACGCTCTTCAGGCAGTATGATGGCTGTACACCACTGAGGCTCAGTGGGCCCTGGGGTGACAGAACAGTTTGCTTTGTGGGTCATTTCGGTTGACAGCAGGGCTCTAAGGGAAGCAGACAGTGTGAGCGAAATCGTTGCTTGCAGTGTTCAAACACAGATCTGGAGTAAGAAGAGAGAAAGCTTGAAGATCCCATTTCTGTCACAGGGAAGGGTCGTCAGGTACAGTATGTGTGTTTGCTCATGCTCATCAGACTCCCATATTTATTCATATGTTAACCTGATTTGTGCAAAAGTAATTCTTGTTTTTACAGGATGTGTCCCAGCGCCACTCCTCTGGACTAGTGGGGGAAGACAGGTATGAATGCCACACTATGATGCAGCAGTGGACAGGCACTTGATGAGGGCAGGCAGAGACTGTCTGAGGTGAGAGCTTCAGCAGCATGACAGAAGCACAGATAAAATCAGAAGGGTCTGTATCCTCTGGCCCTCTTGTTTATAGGGTCTCCCTGCTCTTTTTAGAACCTCCACACATATTTTTATTCTGAATATGTTTTAACTTGATAATGCACTTTTTTCTATCAATAAAATCAGGTCATACTGTTTTCAACAGCTTTGGGTTGTTTGTGTTTATAATAGTAGATGTGAAAGCAGTGGCAGTAATAGTAGATTTCTGAGATGGATGGAGTCGTTAATCATCCATCCATTTCCTAAACCTCTTTATTCAATTCAGGGCAGACTCTATCCCAGCAGGTAACAGGCCTCAAGGCAGGATACACCCTGGGTGGGGTGTTTGTATTGTACATCTCATGGCACACAGACACACACACACTTAACAGGGCCAGTTTACCAGTATGTCTTTGGGCTGTGGGAGGAAACCCATGTGAACACAAGCAGAACATACAAACTCCACACAGACAGCATCCCAGGTCCAGAATTGAACCCAGGGTCCCAGCACTGCAAGATAGCAATGTTAACCACTGTGCCACCCGATAAATGTGTGAAAATATATACTGTCTTGTATAACAGTTAAAAGATGAGGTCCCTGTATGCTTATGTTTCACTTTAACGCTTCTCTTCATAGAGAACTTGAGTTCTTTAGGGAATTATTAGGCCAGGACTATGGTTTGCATCTTTCCACTGTTTTTTAGCTTGTAAAAATAAAAATATAATTGGGGTATTTCATGGTTTACCAAGTTCTAAACACAAAACGGGGGGCGGTGCAGTCCCCTGGTTCCTGCCCTAGGTGGAATCAGCCGATGTACAAACGCTGCCTGCACGAGTTAATGAAAACTGAGCATACTCCTTTAAGAGGGACAGGTTGAATTTGTCCCACTCTTTGCTGAGTAATTGGGTTTTTCCTCCCCGCCGCAGTATAAAGGGCTGCAGCGCTTCTCAGCCTGCCGCAGTGCCCCTGATTTCATCAGAGGAAAGATGAGCTACACTTTGGATACCCTGTACGGCACCACCGCCTACCGCAAGGTGCTCGGCGACCCGCAGCGCAATGCCTCCAGGTCGTCCGGCTCCCTGACCTCCAGTGGCTTCCACTCGCAGTCCTGGTCCCGGGGATCCTCCGCTTCCTCCTACCGCCGCGGAGGCTACAGCCAGCTCTCCTCCGCGGACAGCCTGGAGTCCTTCAACGGAGACATGAGGTCCCGCAACGAGAAAGAAATGCTGCAGCTGCTCAACGACCGCTTTGCCGGCTACATCGACAAAGTGCGGCAGCTGGAGCTCCAGAACAAAAACCTGGAAGCCGAGGCGGCGGCGCTGCGCCAGAGCCAGGCTGGCAGATCGGCCATCGGGGAGCTGTACGAGCGCGAAATCACCGACCTGAGGAGCGTGGTGGTGCAGCTGAGCAGCGAGAAAGCCCAGGTGCAGCTAGAGCAGGAGCACATCGAGGAGGACATCCAGCACCTCAAGCAGCGGCTGGACGACGAGACCCGGACGCGGGATGAGCTAGAGGCAGCTATCCGGGCCATGTCCAAATACATCGAGGAGTCCGGTCTGGCCCGCCTGGAGCTGGACAAGAAGCTGCAGTCGCTGCAGGAGGAGGCGGCTTTCCTCAAGAAGAACCACGAGGAGGAGGTGGGGGACCTCCTGTCGCAGATCCAGGGCTCGCAGGTGACGCTGGAGGTCAGGGACGCGCTCAAGGCGGACGTGACCAGCGCCCTGCGGGAGATCCGCAGCCAGCTGGACGGACATACCTCCAAAAGCGCGCAGCAGGCGGAGGAGTGGTTCAAAGGTAAGATGCCCCCCTCGCCGGCTGCTCCAGGCCAGTGCGCCGCAGCGCCCACCCGAGCGCATCCCGTCAGCCAGGCGGGCACGGTCTCCCAAAGTGTTCTTTAACAAGGTTTCTGTAAGGGAAATACCTTTCAGGTAGGGCTTGGTGACAATACCGCCGGATAGCAGCCTCATGTAGGCTCTTTAAATGCCCGTGCCAAACCACGCTGGCTCTCTAATAACAAATAGCCGGAGTCGGTACGAGAGTAATAACAAGACTTTTTGAGTTTTTAGTAAAAACGTTTCAAACCCGCCGAAGACGCAATTTGAATCGACTACGTAGATAGGAGGTATAGGAAAATGGTTTGTAACTTCTAGAAAGAAAATAAAATACGGGTTTACTCGAATATTAATTTTAAAGGTTCCGAAAGATTATTTGTGATTTACTCATAGATTTTAACACTAAAGCACTATTTAGAAAAGTTAATGATGTGGCATTTTCCTCTTAAACTATTGTAGTGCTCATAACATGTGGACTGCATGTTCTTTTATTGCAGTCCTTAGGACACGCTTATTTAAAGGTTTTGCTCATTTCTATCGATTGGGCACTCATCTTTGAATACTTAGCAATTTTGTCATCGAACGCTTCACTTCACAAGGCCGTCAGATGCTTGTGAAAACCACCACGTAGCATGCTTAAGAATGTATCCTAATTAAATGCAGTACTTTAAATCAATTCGTAAAACGAAAATGATATTGTCGTTTAAATAACTTAGAACAATTAATGAGGAATTCGTATAGCTCGTTTATTTTAAGGTCATTCTCCCAGCTGGTGAGAAATCCGCATTGGAACGTGTCTGTATGTAAAATAAATACTGAGGGAAAAGCATGAATTATTCGATCCTCGTTAAAAAGTGAGTGGTGCCATCTTAATGATACATTAAACTGGTTCAGGCTCACTGGAGTCACTTTGCATCTCCGTATCACAGAATCAGTCTCCGTCCTTGTTCTCTTTATTCTGGCTGGAACTCCGGCGGCACTTTGAAAGGCCTTGCTCACGGAAGGCTGTTCCCCTGTCGGACGGGTGTTTCTGAGAGACTGCTGGTGCGGGTTGCAGGCGCGGCGCTGCGGTTCAGAGTTCAAACGGGCGCCGAGCCCCCGGATCACCGCAGTGCTGACACGGCGCGCAGGCAGTCTGCCGCAATAGAGCAATACAGCGCCGGAGATCTGCCCCACCATCCCGGCAGGGCTCTGCTTAACATGACCGACTCTACCCGAAACTGCCAGCTGTATGTCGCCTTTTTATGCAGCTTTTTCAATATGTTTTTTTTTTTGTCAGGGGAATATTTTTTTGTCACGAGTGGAAAAGCGTTTCTGACAAGATAAGTGTTAACAATTCCGTCCCAGGCGCAAGGCTCTTGTAGTTACATTGTTTTTTATTAGTTAATAGAGAAAGGCTCTTGTAGTTACATTGTTTTTTATTAGTTAATAGAGAAAGGCTCTTGT